ATGGTGGTGGATAAAAAAACACATGCACAACCTTTTCAAAAATACCCACAAACCATGTCTCCAGTCCAATAAGGAATTTGTAAAGTTACAGCGCCATGGATTGTCAACAAGCAAGAATTGTTTTTAATTTGAAGTGCTAGCTAGTTGTTTTACCTTTTTGAAATATCAATGTCACATCATGCCGTGCTCTATCTCTAATCTTACTGCATAGTTATTAATAGCAGAGTTTTAAGATGCTCCCAAATTTGGTTATCGATATCTGTCGAGAAAAAAGCATCCTTTTATAATTCGATCCTACTGGTAAAAAGATTAGAAAAAGACAAAGTTCGTGATGATCTGATTAATCTAACGGGTTCATCTGATAATTTTATTAATAGGATAAAATTTAATTAAAAATTTAGTTATGATTTATTAATTTTTATTTTTTTATTAAAAAGATATAATTTTAATTTAAAAAATTAACTTAAACAATCAAAACATTCTATAAAAACTAGGGTTTTAGACCTGATTAAGTTTAAAGACTATGAGAAAAAAATAAAATCTTCAACTCGAATGTTTTTTTATGGCTGTGAATAATTTTAAAAATAAAAAAACTTAGTTATAACTCATTAATTTTTATTCTTTATTAAAATATATTATTTTAATTTAAAAAATTAACTTAAACAATTAAATAACCCTATCAAAACCCCGATTTTAAACCTGATGAGGTTAAAAAACTATAAGAAAAGACAAAATCTTCAGCTCGAATGTTTTTTTATGGCTGTGAATAATTTTAAGAATAAAAAATAAGCACGATGGACACTTAATTTAATTAATTAAAACTGCATGGATTATTAGTTACTTTTGTAAAACTAAAAGGACTGGTTTATAACTTACTCTAATATTCTCCAGGTTCTAGGATTCTTTTCTTTCCCGCAAGCGATTTATTTTAAGCAGTGACAGCAACAAAAGATTTTCCACGTGCATCGAAGGTGAGAGACGGGTTGGGTTACCTACCCGTCACGCTAAACCACGGTCTAGGGGGGCAAAAATCTATTACATGACTGGCTATTTTTTCTGATTTGCATTTATTAAGGAATCTTGACAATATAAAGTAATTATATAAATACAAATAGTTGCTTAATATTCTATAAAAATTAATTTAATATGATGTATAAAAGCTAATTTGGACTGCTTCCACCACTTCAACGAAAAGATATACCATTTATAATTTTTTTAACAGCATATAAGTATTAAGAATCTAATTATAAATTAAGAAATGAACTCATGAATCACTGGAGCGAGATTAGAAATTTATCTTAATTGGAAAAAAAATATTAAATCGAATTATTTGAATATTTAGGATATACAATTTTTTTTGAATTTAAATCTCAGAGTTGATATTCAAAAAAATCATTAAATTTTCATAAATATGTCATTAATATTATGTTTAGAAAATATATTTAATTTTGATTGATGAATAAACAAATCCAAGGATATCCATCTTCATAATAAAAACAATCTACCTTTATATATACATATATATATGTTTTTTCGAGTTAAATATGTTGTCATAAAATAATAGTTTAGCATTTTTAGCTAAATTATCCATGGATTACACGAGCAAATACAGATGATCACCGAGGATCTGGCGGGACAAAAACCTCAAACAGCATAGAAAATCGTGCTACCATATCTTTGCTTACATATTTATTAGCTCTGCCTTGAAAAAGAAAATAAAATAAAAATATACTCCAAATTTCTATATCTGGTTTTGCTAATCAAGGAAGAAAAGTGAAAGGCTGACAGGACCAACCAAAGCAGAGGACCCACAATCCGTACTCTCCCATCTTGCTGTATCCCACAAACAGCAGCAACTGGGAGTGACCGAGTCACTGAGTTTATTAGAGCTACTCTCCTTTGCGTGGTGTAGTGCACTGTAGTAGTTTTTTGTCTTGGTATTTATTTTTGCAAGATTTACGAGGGGTCCCTTGCCTCCTTAGAACCTTAACTATTCCCTCACCTTCCTTCCCCTCCCTTTCTCTCCTTGTTGGTGAAGATATTTTAACAGCAAGTACAAAAGGTGAGTCCAAGTTTTAAACTTCATGGTTTATTTTTCTTTTTCCTTTTTTTTTTCCTTTTAGTGTTTTGGTTCTTTATTTCATTTTCTTCTTGAGAAATTTGATTTTGTTTCAGGGTTTTTATTTTCTCTTTTGATTCCTTATTATGTTACGTTGTTTTTTTTTTTTTTACTATTTTTTGTATTTTGATTTCTGTGAAGTTTGAATCTTGCTACTCTAAGGTGTCACTGTTGCATTGATTAAATTACATTTATTAGCTTTGAAGTTTTAATTCGTCCATGAAAGTCAATTCTTCTTCTTCTTCTTTTCAAGAAATGTTAAATGCAGCAGTAGACCGATAATTTATGGTTCTGGGTTTTTCTTAGCCTCGAGTTTGGTTGCCTAGACAGTGAGTGAAACAATGAAAGCTGGAAGATAGAATAATGGGAACTTATGATTCTTATCGTTTTGGATTTTAGAAACTTTAAAAGAAAAATCTTTGTATTGCAGGATTTTAAGGGTGATATGAGCCAAAGAAAGAATACAGAAAAAAGAATAGGAATCAAACATTCGTAGTCAAATCCTGTATTTAATGGTGAAGCTAATGAACTCATTTAAAGACAATTTACTCTTGATTTCTCACTGAAGGGAATCTGTACTGTAAGTTGTAACCCTCCCTTTGTTGCAAGCCACGATGTTCATCACTTGTGTCTTCCTATTATTATTATGGGCTGGCATCAGGCAACAAAAGTTTGGTGTTTGTTTTGAACAATGAATGGGTTGCAAAAGAAGAATTTATTTTTTTGTTCTTCCGGGACTTTTATTTGAAATTTGTGGAGCAAAGGACCATGCCTATCTTTTCCTTCTTTGTTTTGATTCCTTTTACAAGCTCTATAAATCTTTTCTGATTATAAAGTTTTCTACCAATAAGGTAGGTTAGGATGCTGTAAGAGACATGACACTAAAGTTGCTGAATGGGGGGACATGTTGTGTTGTTTTCTTTCCTTTAGAGGTGCGTGCAATACAGGCCTAAGAATGAGTATCTGTGAGAGTTGAAGTTTGAAAAAACCCCGTTATTGGTGTTCACCATGTCAAGGCAATCCCTACTTCCTCCTCGCTGCCCATTTCGGAAGCATGTCGTTTCTCATCCAATTCACGAATCCAGTCCGCAACACCACAGGTCTCCCTCCCAAGGTTCAGTTCTGGAGGAGAAGCCAGCATGGCTTGATGATTTGTTAAGTGATGAAGATGCAGATTCAAAAGGAAAGTGTCTTCGCCGGTCTGCCAGTGATTCGGTCACCCTCTTGGATGGTATTGTGAATTCATTTTCAGGTTTGAGTCCATATAATGATGAAGCTGCTTCAGGTGGCAATGAAACTTGTAGTGGACTGGAGTCAGCTTCTATGTATGGTCCTAATTCTCCTAGGAGAAGAGGGAATGTGACCTTCTCGGAAAATGCCATAGCATCAGCCCTATCGGAGTATGCATTTCAAAATCCTTTGCAGTATGTAGACGGCAGCCTGTGCATTTCGGGGACTAAACCCTTGGATCAAATGGGGAATGCATGTGGTTCAGCTGAGGAGCTCAATGGCGAGACAAACCCTGTGAAACGGTTAGAATCTGAAACACTCTTGTTTGATTGCTCGCTTATTTTGTATTTCTAAGGTAATCGTAATTACTCTTTTTATCACATCAATTTCTAAGCAATTTTTAGGCATTTGTTGTTGTGAACTTGGGATGGTCATCTGCGCTACCCTGATATTTTGGTGAAGATTCCCGATTGTGTGTTAATGCCCCAGCTTGCTTTAACAATATTGTAGCTCAATTTGGAATCAATGTTAGGCAAATTTGGAAGTACTGAACCAAGATTTAGCAACCTAGTTTCAGCTTTGCTCAAGTAATTTGTAGTTATGTTTCCTTGCTGATTATGATGTGTCCACTTTATACCGGACCCCCCCCTCCCTCTTCACATTCACATGTTGTTCTGTACTGAAACTTCATTTATGCTTGTTTGGTCATGTTTGTGAACAATTTTCTTGTAGGCGTAAGATTTTCCATTCTGTGTATTGATTGGAATTGTCTTTTGAAACAATACAAATTCCGGAGGAACGTTTAATTTTCTGGTAAGAACTACTCCATGAACTAGTATGGTCATCCAAGATGATCTCTGTCGGTGGTTTTCCCTAACCAATCTTCCCTTACAAATGTCCCTAGACACAAACTTTGACTGAAGCACAAGTACCAAATTTACTACCTGAGAGCAAGCCTCAGAATTCTGTACTACTGTCCCTAAGAAATGTTCTCCTTCATACTATGTGCTTGAGGAGGTTATATGATTATTCTAGTCTGTAGGTGCTGGCTGTCACTGAAAATTGAAGTACACACGTAGGGTTTTTACTAGAAGAATATCATGGAAAACCTACCATTGTACATAGAGCGTGGTGTTATTTGCAATTGTATTGTACTTGAGATGAAAGTCAGGAGATTCTCACTTCCAAACAAAGTATTCGATCTAAAACTTTATGTTTTCTAGTGTCTTTTCTCATTAACGTTATGCAAAACATGGAGACAATCTTACTGGTTTTGGTGGCTTTCTTGATAGGCATTCCGGGCAACGCTCAAGAGTTCGTAAACTCCAGTATATTGCTGAACTTGAAAGAACTGTTAATGTTCTGCAGGTAATTCCTCCGAGAGATGAGGCATTTTTGTCCCACTTTAGTCTCTGTATGATTGAATCTCTATTTGCAGGGATAGCATGCAGCAATTTTATTCTTGATGCAGATGGGGAAACTTTAATCCTTGTGCATGATAAATCGCAGTCTAAATCTTATCAACTGATGTTGAGAAATTTTCAATCATATCCTAAAGAAATTTCATATTTTTTATTTTGTCAAGAATTTCTTGTTTAGTAAATAAAAATTCAGGAGCTGTATAACTCTTTGCAGACTTTGGAGTCAGAGTTGGCAGTCAAGGTTGCTTCTATGCTTCAGAAACGTGCTACTTTGTCCCTGGAAAACAACACATTAAAGCAGCAGGAGGCCAGAATACGGCAGGAAAAATTGATCGCAGAGGGTGAGTTCCATATTTCTATGATTTTCTTGAAAATTCATCCCAAATATAATATTTGAGGATTTCAAAGCTCTTTCAACGGGGAAGAAACGTAACACAGCTTCCTTATTATTCTAGTTTTTCTTGTACGAAACTGGAATAAGGTACTCAAGTTTCCCTAGTACATTATTTTCTTCTTCCATGCATTTTCTTTCAGCTCAACATAAGGCTTTGAAGAAGGAAGCTGAGAGAATGAAAAACAAGTTAGGTTTCACAAATTTGAAGTTCAGAAATTATTCCAGATCAAGTCGCCCTCCGGAGGCAGCTAGATCAGAAGTTACATGGCAGATGGCAAAACTTAATCTTAACTAGTCAGGGGAGTCCGTGTCCATGCTTCAACAATACGTCTCAAACATGATTTTCTACTCATCAGTGTCATTTTGTGAAAAAAGTAGACAGCCTTGCTGCATCATGTCATATATTGGTTAGGATACCTTGCACTCCCGGGGCACAAGTTGTTTATATCTTGCTGTACATGAACCGCCAGTGAACGGACTTGTATAACAGGGAGTGGCATCATCTTTTCACTAGAATTATCTTAGCATCCATGCCCGGGTTACAATCTCGTGCTTGATCATTAAAGTAAAGCTCTTATCATCTGATGAATTCAAATCTAAACGAGGAATAATGAAAGAAAGCTTCATTGCAGAAGATCTCCCCACCTTTAAGCACTGAAAATTACACCTTCCTCGCTCATTCAACTGCGGCATCAGAGCGGTTAGGTGCCGCTACTGCACTAGAATACTCAGCGTGTAGAAAGCTATAGATTTAAAGTGATGGTAAGGAAAGGAAACATAACAAAGGACTGTTTGGTTGCAGGAATGTATTTTATTTTGGAAAGTGAATTTAGAAAAATGAATTATTTTTTGATATTTATTAGTGTAATGTGAAATAAATTGAAAAATACTTTAAAGTGTTTGGTTATATCATAAAAAATAAACTGAAAAATAATTTATTAATATTTTATTTTTTAAAATTTATTAAAATAATAAGAATTAAATTTTACAAATTAAAAGGTTGAAAAAAATATAATTGAAAAAATATAATTCATAAATTATCTCAAATAAAATAAATAATAATCATAATAATCAAGATTACATCTAAAAAATAAAAAAATTAAAAGATGAAGAAATTAAAATAATAATAATTAATATTTTATAAATTATTTTAAATAAAATAAGTAACAATCAAAATAATGATGATTAAATTTGATAGATAAAAAATTTCAATAAAAAAATAATAAGGAAAAAACAAATAATAACTATAAAAATAAGGACTAAAGTTAATATAAAAATTAAATTTTAAGAGAAAAATTAAAAAATAAATATTGAAAACAAAATATAAAAGTTTGAGGATCAAATTTGATATAATTAACAAATAATATGATATTTCTAATTTTTTCACAACTTTCAGAAAATGTTTTCAGTTCAAATTTTCCAGTTTATTTGGGTTTGTAGTGAATCAATAATGTTTAAGCGAATAAAATTTTGATATTTTTTGGAAAAATTTATAAGAACAATAGGGTAAACTTGTTATTTATGTATATACTAGTAAATTCACTTGCGCTCTTTGTAGTGAATCAATATTTTTTTTAAAAAAATATAAAGAATATAAATAATATTTTAAATCTTTAAATCTAGCTACTATATCACATCCAAGTTATTTGGATCTGACATGATTACAGGTCTAGATATTTGAGTAATGTAAATTCCAGATGTTGACTTAAAAAAATATTAAAAAAGAGAGAAGGAGAAGATAAAATCTCTATAGAAAAAATGCTAAATTCATAAACATAAAAATTAAACTATTTCAATTCAAAGATATGATTAAAATTTTTAGATCTAAAATGTTAAATTAGATTTTTGTTGTTTATATTTATTCATACTTTGTTTATAAATAATTTTTAAATTTGAGTTGCTTGAATCTGACAAATATATTTTATCTAAGTTTACTTGAATAATTATAACAACAATAATAATATAAACAACAACAACTATCTCAAATACAAGGAGTTGGGGTCTACAATCATTCTCAATTCAAATTTAGTCGTGGTGCGCGCAAGCTGACCCGGACATCTACGTTAATCTAAAAAAAAAAAAAAATTTGACAAAAATACTTAACCTACAGTAGTAGGTCTGGTGCATAGGTTTGATAATTTTTCCAGACCCATACTTGAATCTGTCATCAAACATGGTTGTTAAGTCTAAATTGTTTGGATCTGATAACCCATCCTAGATTTAAGTAAACAACAAACAAAAAGAAGATAACTCATCCTAGATTTAAGGAAGTAACAACTAAAAAAAAGATAATTGTGTATTTTAGTTGTCATGAGAGGAAAAAAAACAAATAATCAATTATTAGCAGTAATCCAACCATGATATATCTACATGTACCGCTTAATATGTAAAAAAAACACAACTATACATTTAGTGATATAATAATTGACTAGATTTTGCTATCAAGAAATGTCACACATATTTTTTTAATGACACGGACACTACCCACTCATTAGAATATATATAGAACACACTAGTAATTTTTTGATTAAAAATTAAAAAATATTATATAAAAATACTAAAATATCCTCATGGTCCTCTTAATTGCACAAAATACCCACAAAAAAAACCAAAATTCTCCAAAAAAAACAAAACATCTTTTTTTTTCTCTTTTCCAAGGCTAAAAATATTTTTTACTTGTATTTATAAATTAAAAATAAAATTACTATTATAATCTATAATAAAATATTTATTGATGTATAATGATTTTTCCACACCTTTAGAATTTGAAAAAAATTAGATTTTCTTGTGAAAAAAAGCTAAAGAAATATCTATCCGCTCCTGAAAATATGAGAAATTTAAAAGCTAAAGAAATGCCGCTTAATCTATAGTGATTTCCCCGTATTATTTAGCTTTTGTTATAATAAACATAAAAAAAATCAAAATATTGATATCAAGCTGGAAAAAAAAGAAATTACATGTAAAAAATTTCAACTTCATTACATATCTAACCTTGGAGATTCCAATCGCCAAACTGTTCAGAGGTATCCCTTTTCACAAAATGTATTCACAGTACTTATTATTAAATCATTGCAAGGACTAGAGCCCTCCAAACACCAATTAAATCACCCTATCAATCGTGGTAAATATGCACGTTTACAAGGGTGCAGCATACAGCTCTTCCAAGTTTTAATTACATTCACAGGGATCACAAAAGAAACTACCTAACCACGAAGAGATGCCCGAGGGACAGCAGGTAAGCCCAGTTCATCCTCAGCCTGTCAAGAATCAAGGTTCAAGGAAAGAAGCATTAGGCAAAACACCAAGAAAGACACATGGCAAATGCAGGTACAGCATATTTAACTCTGGGAAACAAGCTGGCTGTTCTCTTAAGCTTGTATGAAGGAATCTAAACTCCATTGTTTTCCTTTTTTGATAGATAAATTAGTATTCTGTCCCATTAAATAGAGAAACGTTTCTTCCCAATCAAAAGTAAATATCAGTACACGATGAGAGTTTAAGGAACCATGTGACTCAATATACTTCTCACAACACTCACTATAGTGAATATATATATTCGCTGTACTATTTAATACCTGATTATTGGCTCTACCAGCTGGTGCTGCATGTCCTGTGGGTGCCGAAGGCAAGTTCAGTTCTGAATCAAGATCAGGTTCCTTATCAGGTTGCAGATAAGAAGGCACCCCATCAGATTCAGTTTCCATTGCCATGTCTGCTTCCAAAGCATCAAGTTCTGCATTCCAAATGAATAGAACAATTATAAGATATATATTACAGATGGATTATTTATTTGAAACCAGTGCATGAAGGACTGTTTCAATTTTTTGTTGCAGAGTAGGGGAAATATTTTCGACAATGTGCTCCTTCTAAAGGACTATACAATATTAAAGAACTTGCTTCTCAAACATCTAGGCTGAATGGCAAATCAAAACTTCAATTTAGTAAAAAAAAAACTGTAATGAGCCTTTGAATGATCTTAAGCTTACCACCCATGAGATCTTCCTCATCAATATCATCCGGCACGCTGTAGCTTCTACCCAAGGTCTCTTGAATTTCACTGCTAACATCCATCAAGTCCATCATCTCATCTTGCAAGTTCTACAGAAATAGAGAGAGAGTGATAATAAAAAGGGGGTGGAGGTACAAAACACCTATCATCAGTTCATCATGATTTCCAGGAGATCCCAATAGATAAGCCATAAAGACAGGATAGGAAGAGGGGCTTTGGAGTTGACAGACTACATACATCAATATCTTGAATCTTCACAGTTTTCATCAATCCTTTCAATTCCTTGTTGGCGGATTTCAAAGCTGACACCTGAAAAGAAAACCGCAAAATTAATGCCAGTGAGAAGTGAAGTAAATTTCTTTTAAACTCACTCACTTAGAATGCCGTGGTCATATATATTATATCTTAAACTAAATGGCTATGCATGCTGATGATACAAGAAACCATGTTCATGAATCATAAGCAATCCCTCCCTAGCAGTAGATGTTTCATCCCCTACCTCTCATGAGGTAGGCTGCAGGTTCCCATTGGATTACACATATTGCTCCACCAGCTTGAACCATGCCCCTTTAGGTGCTACCAAGGCAAACAAATATCTCAAGGTGAGCATCCCATCCCCAATGCAACCACAAATCTATCTGGTGTAAGATGAATCTTCAAAAACAACATGCAAACAAGTACTCACAGGGATGCCTTATTCATAGCATGTATGCCTTTACTGTCCACTACTTTTTGCACAAGAAAAATTGGTTTTAAGTGTCAATTCAGTTTCACAAACAGATGCTTTATAGGGCACTTTTTACTAGTTACTTCAAACGTGAACATTTTTAAAACTATATCGATGTTTTGGAACATACAGTTTGTTGAGCATCTTTAATTCCTTCAGAAGCAAATGCAACTTGATCAAGGTTGAACGTTTGATTATAAAGCATGTCACGCTGTCCTTCATACCTGTCCAACAGATTTACCGATCACATAAGCCATTAAGGCAATTGACAATATAAAAATCAAGCTGTATAGCGTCACCCTAGCATTAAACTTAAGCAAATGCAATCCATTACATTTCATTACGCCCAACAAAAATGGCACCCACCCTAAATCAACATCCAAACAGGCAATAGCTACAGTTTAGTGCTTCAAATGCAACGAAAAAGGTGAAAACTTTGAAGCTCAAATTCTGAAAAACAATCCGAAAACCTCAGGGCTTCTTTCAAAGTAATGATCACAACCTACCATTATCAAATCCAGAGTAAAAAACAAACGAAACCCAGTCATTTAAATCACAAAATTCAAAACCCACAAGCCACTTAACTCCCAAAATCACATTAAAAGGGGGGAAATGTAAATACTCACATTCTCTTCTGCTTAAGAACCCTCATAGCTCTAGATTTAACAGCCTCTTGAGCAGGTCCAGGTCTTGTATTCTTGATCTGTTCTTTATACCTCGCAAGTTCTGCATCAAGCTTCTTGATCTTCTCATCTACTGTTTCACCTCTCTTATTAATCTAACATTTTTTATCATCAAATTAAAAACCCATGTCAGAAATCTAACAAAATCCAAGTTCAAAACTTTCTTGAAAATACACAAACAGAGAATTCAAGAAAAAATTACCCTATCTGATGAATCTTGAATTGAAGGTGGTGGTTCTTTATCTTTTTTTAGACCAAAAACTCTCTTCATGTTTCCAGAAACAAACACAACGATCAAGTTCTTGAAAGAGAGAACCGAGAGAGAGAAAAACAAGGAGATTTTCTTGTTTTCGAAGAAGTAAAGACTGTTGCTTTTGGTTCTGTTTTTCTTTGACGCGTTAAAGGAAGTCTCTTGGAGCTTGCAAAGGGAGTGTTATTTTGATGGATAAGGGTTCTATTTGATTTATGACGTGGCGTTTTTTGGTTGGTTGGATTGGTTTTTTAGGTCCAATGGTAACATGCCATGTAATGAAACCAGTTTTTGTAACTGGTAGTGATTTTGATTTTGATTTTATTGATATTGTTAGGTCCATTGGCCTATTTTATTTTACCTTGTTAGAGATTAATGTAGAGGTTGCAATTTTAAAATAGTTTGTTGAAAAAAATAGTTTTAATTGAACCTCAACTGATTTGAAGATATTTTTTATTATTAAAAAAATATATTTTACTTGAATCTTTATATGCAGTTGAAATAATTTATATGAGTGGTATTATCTATTAAATTGAATTGATTTAATCATTTTTTAAAATATGTCAGACAAATGCCCATAAATAATAAATAATAAATAATAAATAATAAGATGTTAAGTTAGATTTTTATCTATTAAAAATAAACTTGTAAAATTTAATTTAGGATTGATTTGAATTGTTTTGGTTAAATAATAATTTTTTATTAAAAATTTATATTTTTATAATTTTATTTTTTATAATTTAAATATGATATAATTTATTATAACTTGTTTTTTTGTTTTTTTTGTTATCTCAACTCCATTATCCCTGTAACAGGTTTAGCAAGTTAAACTAATTATTTCAAGTTTTTTTAATTTTTTATTTTTTTTGTTTTTTTGTTATCCCGGGTTTAGCAAATTAAACTAATTATTTCAAGTTTTTTTAATTAATTTTTTTAATTTTATTATTTAATATTTTTAATATTTAATTAATTATATTTTTTTTTTGTTATTTCGACTTCATGACTTAATATTTAATTGATTATAATTTTTTTTTTGTTATTTCGACTTCATGACTTATGTAATGGGTTTGACGAGTTAACCTGATCGTCTCGAGTATTTTTATTTTTTTAATTGTCTTTTTAATTTTATTATTTAATATTTTTATTATTTAAATGATTATAATTTAAGTTTTGTTATTTATTTTAGTTTATTTTTTATAAAATTATGTTATTTTTATAATTAGGGTTAGGAATTTTACAAATTAATTCAAGTTAATTTAATTTAATTTATTTTATTATTATATTATATTATTTTTCAGTTTTATTTTTTCAATAAATTTATTACAAATTAAATTCTATAACTTGGAATGAATTTTTTTTTATTCGAGGGTTATATAGCTTTTAGAAGCAGAAAACTGGAACGTTCTCCGGCTATTAGGGGATCCGAACTAAAGAGCTCATTCCTCTTCTTAGGCAGAACCTTCTCAAGCTCTGGTACCTTCTCTCTCTGTCACTCCCTCTGTGTAGTTTTAGATCTCTAAATTTCTCAATAGTCCACTACCATGGATACCCACGACAACCAACCACACCCAGCAACAAGATCAAAAGCCTCTAAAATCTACTGTTTATCAATACTGATCCTCTTTTTAGCAATCTCTCTAAGTTTCTTCATCAAGACAAGCCACTACTTCAAAATCCAACACCTAAAATCAACACTCACATCAAACCCCTCTTATTTTCAAGAACTCCTAGAGTTTCTTTATTCAACCCAAAACCCCACCAAAACCCAACAACCAAATCACATTTCCGTACCCTCTCACTGTGTTTTATGGATGGCACCTTTCCTTTCAGGTGGTGGGTATAGTTCAGAATCTTGGTCATATATTTTAGCACTTAATGAAAACATGAACAAGAAAAAGTTTAAGTTGAGTATTCAGCAGCACGGTGATCTAGAATCTTTGGAGTTTTGGGAAGGTTTGCCTCAAGAAACCAAGAACTTGGCTGTTAAGCTTTATCAAACTGAATGCAGAGTAAATGAGACTATTGTGATATGTCATAGTGAGCCTGGTGCCTGGTACCCACCATTGTTTCAAACCAGGCCTTGTCCACCAACTAGTTATGAAAATTTCAATTTTGTTATTGGTAGAACCATGTTTGAGACTGATAGACTGATTGCTGAGCATGTTAAGAGATGTAATAGAATGGATTATATTTGGGTTCCTACTGATTTTCATGTGTCTACATTTGTGCAAAGTGGGGTTGATCCATCTAAGGTTGTTAAAGTGGTTCAAACTGTTGATGTTGAGTTTTTTAATCCTTTAAATTATGAGCCTTTAGATCTTGTTACAATAGGAAATTTGGTTTTGGGTTCAGGAAAGAAGGATCTGGATTCGAAGATGGAGTTTGTCTTCTTGAGTGTGTTTAAGTGGGAGTATAGGAAAGGGTGGGATGTATTGTTGAAAGCATACTTGAAGGAGTTTTCTAGGATTGATGGGGTTGCTTTGTACTTGCTAACAAATCCTTACCATTCTGATAGGAATTTTGGCAACAAGATTGTAGAGTTTGTTGAGCATTCTGGCATAGAGGAACCAGTTAAAGGTTGGGCGCCTGTTTATGTAATTGATACTCATATAGCTCAGGTTGATTTGCCAAGAATGTATAAGGCTGCCCATGCATTTGTTCTTCCATCAAGAGGAGAAGGGTGGGGGAGGCCTCTGGTGGAGGCCATGTCAATGTCTTTGCCAGTTATTGCAACGAATTGGTCTGGACCAACAGAGTATTTGACAGAGGAGAACAGCTATCCATTACTGGTGGATAGAATGAGTAAAGTTATGGAAGGGCCATTTGAAGGGCATCTTTGGGCTGAACCTTCTATTGATAAGCTACAAGTTCTGATGAGGCATGTAATAACTAATGTTGAGGAAGCAAATATGAGGGGAAGGCGAGCAAGGGAAGACATGATTAGAAGGTTTTCTCCTCGGATTGTTTCTGGTGTTGTCACAGATCTAATTGAAAATCTACTTGATCGGATGATTTGAGAGTTTTTCTTCTTCTTGCTTGTGGAGTTCATATATGGTGTGGGTCAGCTGGGGAATTAAGTAATCAGATATCAATATGGCACGCCATCTTTGTAAATGAGGAGAGACGTGATGTATTTTGCAGGTCTACGGGATGTTTGAACAACCGGATGACTTCATTTCCAACTTGTCCTTGTTTATGTTCAAATGTTCTGTCACTGTATAGACAAATTATGTCAAATTTTGAGACATTCAAGAGCTAAGTTTCAGGTTTTAAGCATCTGCTAGGTTGCTTCTGTTGTTGAGCATGGCTGCTGGAGAGAGTGCTAGTGCCTAGAATTGCTAATTCAAGAGTGCAACAATACGTGGGAAACTCTATGCACTAGACAGTGCTTTGTGTAATGGCTTGACGTTCTAAATAATCTTCCATCAAGGATAGGCAAATTTCTGATCAATTTGCTTGATCTTTGTAATTCAGGAAGAGAGGTAGATGATTGACTAACAATATTTGAATGGGCCAATTGGAACATGCAGTAAAGAACCTTTCCTTCAGTTCTTTTAAGAATTTCCTCGCATTCCTCTTATCAGATTTGGAGAGTATTAGCCACTCTCTAGTCAATATTCTTCAAAGAACTCTAGCATCAATAGTATGTTTCAGAGTATCATATTTTCAGCAGGTATCATTTACTTAACAGCATTATCTGCAAAAAAAAGCTTTGACTAAAACCCATTTTAGAGGAATTTTTGTTCTTATTGTGCTCTCCTATATATTATGTCTGCCGTTATTTTTCAGATTTCTTTCGAAAGCTTGCCTTTTTTCTGTGAACAACCCTAGTGGTAGAGGGTGCGTGGCACTATATATTTTTATATATTTTTGGAAAGGGAAATTTTACACACACAAACTGATGTGGCAAGTGTTGTATAGTATAATATAACTGATTTATAAAATCATTTCATTAAATGATGAGTAACTACGAAATTATTCTGTGTAATTTTTCGATTTGTTTCTCCGTACTGTTTTGGAAAAAACAGTCTTTCTATTTCTTGACCTAAAAGCTAACCAAATTGAGTGAAAAAAACACCAAAATCTTCCCATAAAATCGTGTTTTACCAATGAAGTAGGCAAAAAACTTGGAGGGTATACAGAAAAAAAAAAGTAAAAAAATAAAAATCACTTCCTAAATGGTAAAACAGCTTAGGAATCTCGTGCAAGCTCTATGGGGTCTTGCCTTCGGTTTATTACAAAAAAAGAACAGAACAGCTCCTTCCCTCCGAGGAATCTTCTCTTCCTCACAATCTCACCAACTTCTCTCCTTCCTGTTGTCTATCAATCATTAGTTTTTATTTCTTTCGAACCTTATCTTAACCAACCCCCAACAATGGCCACGGCTGCTCTTCTCCCCTGAGCACCACCTACCCTTGCCTTTCTCGTAGCACCTTCCCAAGTTCAGGACAGGATGGCCTCCTGTGCCTCGTCCCTCCTTGGCCTCCTGTCTTTCCTCATTGTGGCGAGCATAGCATCATCATCATCCTCTTCTAGGGGAATCCGCCTCAGTATTGTCCGAAAACCATTCGCTGCTGTCCCTGTATTCAGGGAGGCTCCAGCTTTCCGAAATGGGGATTGCTGTGGGCTTCAGAGAATCCACATTGTCATGACTCTTGATGCCAATTACCTTAGAGGCACCATGGCTGCCGTTTTATCCATCCTCCAACATTCTACTTGCCCTGAAAACATGGAGTTCCATTTTCTCTGGTCACGTTTCGAGCGTGAGGTCTTCTCCAGCATCAAATCCACCTTCCCTTACCTTAATTTCAAATTTTACCGGTTTGATTCCAACCGTGTTCGCGGCAAGATATCTAAATCCATTCGTCAGGCTCTAGACCAGCCTTTAAACTATGCTAGAATTTACCTTGCTGACATTATCCCATCCGACGTTAAACGTGTGATTTATCTGGACTCTGATCTTGTTGTTGTTGATGATATTGCAAAATTATGGGAGGTTGATTTAGAGGAAAAGGTTTTGGCTGCTCCAGAATATTGTCATGCAAATTTCACCAACTATTTTTCTAAACTATTTTGGCTTGATCCTGTTTTGGCCAAGACTTTTCATGGAAGAAGGCCTTGTTATTTTAACACAGGAGTCATGGTTGTGGATGTGGAAAAGTGGAGGCAAGGAGGGATTACACAGAAGGTTGAAGAGTGGATGACAGTGCAAAAGCAAAAGAGAATCTATCATTTAGGTTCATTGCCGCCATTTCTATTGGTCTTGGCTGGGAACATCAAAGGAGTTGACCATCGATGGAACCAGCATGGATTAGGGGGTGACAATATGGAAGGAAAGTGTAGGAGTTTGCACCCAGGACCTATTAGTTTGCTTCATTGGAGTGGGAAAGGGAAACCTTGGCTGAGGCTTGACTCAAGGAAACCATGCATTGTGGATCATCTCTGGGCTCCATACGATCTTTATCGCTCATCGATGCATGCTCTTGAAGAATGAGGATGGAGTCAGTGAGAAAAGGAAGGGGTTGGTGGTTTAGGAGAGCAAGAGGAGATACACTAATGGCTAAGAAGTCAAATTTTTTAAAGAACTCTTCAAAAACAAATTTCTTCCCATTCTTTCATATCATTTAAGGTCCGCAAGGACCCTTTTTCTTTTCTTTTCTTTTCTTTTCTTTTCTTTTCTTTTTTCCTTTCAAAATCTTAGGCAAAAAAAAGAGAGGATTTTTCGCTGTTCTATCCTATCGAGATCATCTTATGAAAAAACCTTAATCAAAGTTCTGTTGTAAGAGGTGGAAAAGAGAAGCCATAAGGGTTTTAATTTTTTGGTTCTACTAGTGCTTATCAGCATGGACTTTTGAAGCTATCTTCATCAATTTTGATTCTATTGCATAGAGCTTGAGGGAAGATCTTGAGTTCCTTGTGAAATGGACAATGACACAATGATGGGGGTTGTGGAAAAAAATTATTTGTCCCTCTATACAACTTTCTATGCACTACTTTATTATTTCTGAATCCAGTTTAGTTTCATTACTTTAGTTTTTTTTTTTTTTTTCAATTTGTGGAACCCCGCCCTTCTGTTGTAGCAAGTTTATGATCTCCTCTGTGCTCCTAGTAAATTGACAGATAAACTGTGCATGTCTTAATCTTAGCTTTGGGGAATTGTCAAAATTTTGCTTGCACCTTTCATTTCCGAGTCATGAAATGATTGCCCAATAGAAGCCTTCTCGGTGAGTGGGTTTGCTTCCGAGTCAAGATATGGATCGGATCATCTGCTTAAAATCGGACAGGTACCAAGTCTTGGTACATCCGAATTGGGATTAAAAACAATCAAGATATGGAGAGGACAAATAACTAGTCCTGGTACATCGGAACAGGTTCGAGGATACCATTAATCGTGGATAGAAAAGACCGTAGAGAAACATAAAGAAGAGTAACTTGCTAGTACTATGATTGAACTATAACATAATTAAAGACAATAGAAACAAATTCCAGGGTGCACTTAGCAGCATCATATAGTTACAGGAACTGGCTAATCAACGACAGTGATAATTGGTACAAACAGCATGGTGCAAATAAACAAGGAACCGGCTCATCGCCCATATGTAGACTAAGGTTTTTTTCGTTCCACGATAAAATTTCTTCTCATTGCTTCCTTTTTTCTTTGGATAAAAGCATCTGATTTCTCATTGATATTTGAGGCCACACTTATGAGATGCCTTGGGAACACCTTTTTTGGCTCCTGCTTTCCTGGTAGTGTCCAATCTTCACTTATTATGTTCTTACCTTTCTTTGCTCTATCTTCCTCCTTGCCGTCCTGTATGCTGACAAACTTTTTGGGACCTCTTCCTCGAGCCATGGTGCTCACATTGGTCTCTGCCTCTTGTTGGGCTTTCCGTCGAGCGGTAATGCCTTTAGCAACACCATTCACTTGAGCTAGGGAGAGCTCCTCCTTGTCAAGGGATGGCTCAGTGACCTTCTTGCTTTTCTGTATACATAGCTTGTCATCAGGGAGCTGTCCCTTCGCTGATAAAGGGATGGGAATGATGTCACCTTTCTTCAATTTAGGATGATCACCATCATTAATTCTTGTGCTACCTTCCATTGGTTCATGGACAGAAGAGCCGAGTTTGTCAACAGAAGTCCAATGCTCCAATTCTTCTTCAGTTTGCTTGAAGTGAACCTGAATCTCAGATCCTGAACTAGTATCTTTTGACCTTTCTTGACCCTGATGGTGCCGCTTTTCTTCTCCTATAGTACTTTCAAGAATCAAGGGTGCTTGTTCTTCAACCATAGAGTCCACTTCATTTCTCCATGAGTCATCTACAGGTGCCGCAGTTGAGCTGCGAGGCTCTGCATCTGCATGGCGTAAAGTGATGCTCTTAAAGGGACGAGCAATAAGGTTGTTCATGAAGAACTGGAAGAGCCTCTGGCAAATGCCGCAGGAATGAAATTGGTTGTCGTTTTTCTGCATGTCTTGGGCCGAAAACACTTAAAAAACAAGAAAATGAAAGAAAAAACAGCTGTGGTTGCCGTCTAAAGAGGGGACCTGGGAGATGGTATATTTATTTCGGCAATTGGTTAACATGTGATGTTCTATCCTTGGAAAATGGGGTAACAAAAAGTTATAACATGGATTTGATGGAAGCATCCTCTTCCCTTTTAACCTTGAAAGGGAGTCATTTCTCAGCCTGCTTAAGAAGAAAGCAAAGGCAGAGAGCAAGTAAATCATAGACAAATCCTAGTGATTCCATGCATTTCAAAGGGAAAGGAATCCTACTTTGCTTGAAGTTTCTGATATTCCCAAATCACAAAAAGCAAGAGTCACGCAAATCAGTGTGGGCCACGGCCAGCAAATGGAATTCAAATGCCTAGCATCCTTTGGACAACCTGATATTTTATCTTGCAAGTGTTTCATGGGATGAAATGGAACTACATGCAGTTGGCTAGGGCTGGTGATTTACTGTAGGCAATACTGATGAATTATTTTAGCCAAAACTGCTGCAATCACATCAATACCAACTATTATTTATCCATCTAATCATAAAGTGATCGATCAGTAACGAATCAGACATGCATCCAGGGGGGTGATCCAAATAACGTCGGCTCATTTGGTCAAGTGTTACACCATGTACATGAATTTATTGAAAATAGGGAGCAAAAACTGCCAAAACTTCCTTGTATACAGGTTTCTTGAAATCCACAGCCTGCATGAAAATGAGGGCAGAAGGGAACCGATCAATAACAAAATCAGAAAACTGAGTTTAACTGATCGGAACAAATAAGAAACATTAAGACAGCAGAAGCTACCCACAAGGTCAATTATTTGTTCCGGAGACATCCATGACCACTCGCCAAACTCAGGTTTTTCGGAGCCATCACCCAGTAGATTGATATCTTCCTCATTCCCAGTGAATTTAAGGAGAAACCTGCGTGTTTGTAGTTGCAAAATGTGATTAACTGATGTAAAACGAGCCAGGAAATAAACTGGCTTGTTGGTCACTTTTGGCACCAAAAACTACAGTTTTAATACCGTCAACTTAAAGTTCTTAGCCAAGGCTAGACTGGTTCGGACATGTAATTGACCTTAATGGCGAAGTCAGTGTAGGATGATTCAAACTAAATGTGGGCTATTTATATGCTCACCACTTCTGTGCTTGACCTTTCCAGTCAGATCCCCATTGATGTTTAAGTTTTTCCCTGACTTCTGGTGGGAGGTCATATGTCAACCAAGAAGGCGCCTGCAAATTCGATCAAGTTAGTAAACCTACCACAGAATGCTCAACAAGAAACTGTAGCCGCTCCCAAAATAATTTGAACAGGAACACGTAGAGTCAATCAGATGCAAAAGCTGAAAACTAGAAATATATAAGCTCTCAGAAGGCATGGTTCATCAATCCGTAGCTACAGCCAATGTAATAATGAACATGAACTGCATAGATATAGAATGGTGTCCATAAACTCTCACAAGGCTATACCATGGCATTGAAATTAACAGTGCAAATCACTAGAGTGCACATTATAATCCAGAAGCAAACCATTTAACATGTTTAATCCACACCCACTTTTTTGAATCAGACAAGCCCCCCTCATTCAGAGCATTGACATCATGGCTAAATAAAATAATAAACTAGCGAAAACATTTTTCTTGCTAGATCTTGCTACTGATGATTTCATATCTGTGCAGAGTATATAGCACAGGAACAACACTAGGCAGAAATTTTTTCTCAAACAAATTCAGTAGTGCCATGGAAGTTAACAAGGATAACATGTTGGCTAACAATAAAGAGAATATTCTTGATACCTCAAAGCCAGCTTAAATTAGACAAAATCACATGGTTGATAAATTTCAATATTCCTTATTAGAGTAACCAGTTTCGAAGAAAGCATTTCATTTTCTCCTTCAAAGATTCAGTTGAGATAAGCTGCCCATTCCTTTAAGATGAAAAACAGGGGAATAAAAAAAGACAGGAAAAAGCCAGACCTCGGCAAGAACTTCAGCTGAGCTAACCCCTGTCTCTTCTTTTAGTTCCCTGATAGCCGCAACTTTCGGGTCTTCGTTCTCATCAATGCCACCCTATTTCACACAAAACACCATTAACATATATCAACAAACAATCTTCTTTCCCTTTTTTTTTTTAAAAAAAAAAACTTTATATAACATTATTGTACCACAAAATGAAACCTTTTACTAATCATTATAGCAACATAGACAACAGCCAAATCACTAAAACTTAAGATTCATCATCATTAATTTGTACAACATAGTTTACCTCCTTAATCTTTTCCAATTCTTTATCTTCAATTAGACCTCAAAATAACAGATATCACGTAGTCCTTAACAAAATTAAACAACACTCTACAATCTTTAACATATTTTTTTTAGAAAAAACCAACATTTAAATCATCTGTGGCATATTCATTTTCAAAGAAAACCAATCAAACCATAAATAGATTCAAAATCTAAACAAAACCCATTAAACAAAAACCAATCTTTAAATCACCTGTGGCATTTGCCAAGCATTGGGTATATCCAACCTTGAAGCAGCAAAAATCTGCACAGTCCACACACAGAATAAGCTCATGTTTTTTGCACAAATTCACAGCTACGTAAATTTTTACTCAACTACCTTCTTTGATGGGTTGATAAGGCAAATGCCAACATTTCTTCGGTAACCTTCAGGAGGTGATTCCATTGATGATGATGATGATGATGATGATGATGATGAAAAGGCAAGACTCGATATTGTTGGGCTGTGAGGTTTCGGGTTTTGATGGAGGAGTGGCAACTTGGTGAATTTAGAGAACTTAGGAGGGTAGTTTGGGGAGAAAAAAGTGGGTTTAGACAGAACCTGGGGCTGAGGAGGACGATGAAGAAGGGGGGAATGTAAGAAAACGGAACGGCAAATGGCCATTTCTTGGGGCTTTCATGTTTCAGCGAGGGGTTACTGCGGAGGTCATATTGATTTTATTAAAATATCCCTGTATGCTGAATTAATTACCGTGATATGAATGGGGCTGCCCTGCCCATGGATTTAATTTATTTTTTTCTCCTGTCATTTTCTATAATTATTTTCAGATATTTTATGCATCAATTGTGATGGTA